CCTTATACAATGCCATATGGATTACGCTTGCTCTTCATGGTACTCTGCCTTGACAAAAAAACTGAAAGATAGACTGCAAATCACGCAGAACAAAATCGTAAGATTCATCCTGGGGCTGGGACCAAGAGAACATGTAGGCCAGGATGAATTACAGCAGTTGGATATGCTGAATGTTGAAGACAGAGTAAAACAACTGAAGCTAAATCATGTTTATAAAATTACTCACAAACAATGTCCAGAATATCTTGCTGTCAATTTTGTCAAGGTTGGGAACCAAAGCAATCATAGTACTAGGGGGAGAGATCACAACTTTGTAGTACCCACAGTCATTGGCCAGGCTTCAAATACCTTTTATTGTTCAGCAATAAAGGAATGGAACAGACTACCCGCACATGTCAAAGCCAGTCATAGCATGAACCAGTTCGAGAAGACTGCCAAAAGGTGTCTGATGAATGTAGCTACAGAAAGGGAGGGGAATGATTTTTTTTTATTTTTTAGCTAACACAAGTGTAATTTTACCTTATTCCTAGTAATGACCTCGTATTGTAGATAGTCTTAATAGCCCTCGTGTAGTAGATAGTCTTTTAGTATAATAATAAGATGTTATCTTCATTATAGAATAATAAGAATCTATTATAACCTTTATATTATAATAACAAGGTAAAAGGACCCCAATGGAAATAAGTCACTCTGTCTGACTTTTTTGGGTTATCCTAGGTTCTCTACACATATGCTGCTATGTATGATAATCTATGTAACTGTATTTGTGTATACCTGAATAAACTTACTTACTGCCTCCCAAGACTCAGGAATTCCGCTGACGTAAGCAAATGTTCGCAGATGGCTCCTGATTGGCTCTCAGACTCTGTATTATCTTCACCCACTCTGTTATGATGGCAAATAGTAAGTTTATTCAGGTATTCACAAATACAGTTACATAGATTATCACACATAGCAGCATGTGTAAACAACCCAGGATAACCCAAAAATGTCAAAGTGACTTATTTCCACTAGGGTCCTTTTAATACTCCTTTTAATTGTCAATTATTATATTATAAAGAATAATACAAGAAATAAACAAAAAAATCGAAAAAAAGTGAAAACTGACATGAGAGCCGGCATGCTACCAGCGGCGGTGTCACCCCGCATGTTATAAATGACTGTAATTCGTCGTAAGTATGTCATACAACAATAATTCTTGTACCAGGGTGTTGCCAAGGAGATAAGCTATTTTTTTTATATGATTAGCTCAATTTTTTGTATTTTTTCGTTGATTTTTTTTCATTCGCGCGCCGCACACCTAATGCGGTCCCGCTAACCAATTTCCCTGAATCCCTTCATAAACGTTGCTTAATAATGTGGCGCCTAATTATGTAAAACCTAATTATGTGGTACCTAATCATGTTGCTCTAAAAATATGTGGAGCCTAATTATGTGGTACTTAATTATACAATTAATTTTAAAGTTCCTATTTTACTGTATTTAATTTTATGGTAACTAATTATGTTGCACATAACTATATGGTATCTATTTATGTAGTAACCTATGTGGTTCATAATTATGTGGTGCTTAATTATGTGGTTCATAATTACATATTTAGTTTAATAATCTTTGAAAGAGTTCTAAGAATGAGCATTGCAAATCAGTTGGACTCCCAGAAATTGCACAACCTAGGGTAAAATGGTTTCAGAGCGGGTCGCTCCTGCCTCTCGCAATTACTGGATCACTGATATATGGTCTTAGATGCACTGGAAAACAGAATGCAGATGTAGTATACAGATTTTGCAAAAGCCTTTGACATATGCGATCATGGCGTAATAGCACACAAAATACGTGCTAAAGGGATAGCTGGCAAAGTAGGCAGATTGATCTTCAGCTGTCTAACTAATCGAACACAAAGAGTAGTGGTAAACAGAATTAAATCGGAAACTGCCATAGTGAAGAGCTCTATTCCACAAGGCACAGTACTCTCCCCTATCCTGTTCCTCATTCTCATATCAGACATAGACAGAGATGTAAACCATAGCACCGTATCATCCTTTGCAGACGATACTAGGATCTGCATGAGTGTTATCCATTGAGGACACGGCAATTCTCCAAAAAGATATGAACCAAGTTTTCCAATGGGCAACGGAGAATAATATGATATTCAATGAGGACAAATTCCAAGTACACCGTTATGGAAAACTGGAGGAAATAATAGCTAGGACTGAGTATACTACAAACTTAAATCACACAATACAGAGGTAAAACAATGTGAAGGACATGAGAGTGGTAATGTCCGAAGATTTCACCTTCAAGGACCACAACAATGCCACTATCACATCTGCGAGGAAAGTGATAGGATGGATAATGAGAACATTCAAGACAAGAGATGCCAAGCCAGCGATGATCGTTTTAAAGTCACTTGTTCTCTCTAGGCTAGAATACTGGTCTCCGTTAACATCCCCATTCAAAGCAGGTGAAATTGCAGATCTAGAGAATGTACAGAGAACCTTCACTGCACGTATGAGTTCCAGCAAACACTCTTAACTACTGGGAACGCCTGGAAGCACTGGAAGATTCTGGAGGGACTGATCTCTAACCTGCACACAGAAATCACTCCCTACGAAAGCAAAATACTTGGAAGGCGATGTAACATACAGCCAGTGAAAAGTAGGGGTGCCACTTGTACGCTAAGAGAAAACACAATAATTGTCCGGGGCCCAAGACTGTTCAACAGTCTCTCACCAACCAAAAGGGGAATTAACAATAGACCTCCGATTGTCTTCAAGAGGGAGCTGGACAAATACTTAAAGTCAGTGCCAGATCAGCGGGGCTGTGGTTCATACGTTGGACTACATGCGGCCAGCAATAGCAGCCACGTTGATCAGGCCCTGATCCACTGGAGGCCTGGTTGTGGACCGGGCCACGGGGACGTTGATCCCTGGAATGCCCTCCAGGAAGACTCCAGGCAGTAACTAAAGACAGAATTTAGAGTAAGCGTGCCAGAGGCACTCTTACTCTACAGTTATAAATCTACAACATTAATACCCCTCCTTCAGAGCGCAGGCACTATACTTTGGACTTCCATGACTCAAGTCTGGCTAACCAGTTTCCCTGAATTCTTTCATAAATGTTTCTTAATTATGTAGTGCCTAATTATGTAAAAAACTAATTATGTGGTACCTAATTATATCACACTAAAATATGGGGTTCCTAATTATGTGGTACCAAATTATGTCACACTAAAAATATGGGGTTCCTAATTATGTGGTAACTAATTATATGCCTCAATTTTATATGGTGCCTAACTTTAAGTTAACTAATTATGTTGTGCCTAATTATGTGATAACTAATTATGTTGTGCCTAATTATGTGATAACTAATTACGTTGTGCCTAATTATGTGTGAACTAATTACGTTGTGCCTAATGATATGGTGCCTATTTATGTGGTAACTTATATGGTACATATTTGTATGTGTGCCTAATTATGTGGTTCATAATTATGTTTCTAGTTTAATAGCCCATTATAAATACATAATTTACAAAGCATTTACAAGCATTGTAATATATTTAAATTACTAATAAACAATTTTATTGATTTTCTTTAACATCAGACGTCTTCAGTTATTTGCAGTAATCTCATAAGTCATCATAAATTTAAAGCAACACTACAGATACCTATATATTTAAAGTAACTCCAAAGATACTATTTAGGGAAATACCACACGTAATATAATAATAATATTTTTAATTACTACAAGTTTATTTACTTGTAGGTTACATTCCTAGCTGACATCAGTGACATACTACTATATAGAAAGGCCCTTGCTATGCAGAGCATTTCAGGCAAATTACGTCCTTGTCCCAGGATGCGACCCACACTGGTGGCCTGGTGGTTAACGCTTTCGCTTCACACGGTGAGGGCCTGGGTTCGATTCCCAGCCAGAGTAGAAACATTGGACGTGTTTCTTTCCACCTGTTGTCTATGTTCCCCATCAGTAAAATGGGTACCTGGGTGTTAGTCGACTCGACAGTGTGGGTCGCATCCTGGGACACTGACCTAAGGAGGCCTGGTCACAGACGGGGGCGTTGACCCCCGGAACTCTCTCCAGGTAAACTCCAGGTAAACACCAGTCTACTAACACCAAGTACCAATTTTACTGTTGGGTGAACATAGACAACTAGTATAAAGAAGCTCGCCCAGATCAGCCGGGCTGTGGTTCGTACTTTGGACTGCGTGCAGGCAGTTATAACAGCCTCGTTGATCAGGCGCTGATCCATCGGGAAGCCTGGTCATGGACCGGGCCACGGGGCGTTGATACCCAGAATGCCCTCCAGGTAGACTCCAGGCAGGTAACTAAAGAGAGAATTTAGAGTAAGCGTGCCAGAGACACTCTTCCTCTGCAGTTATGACTCCAGTCTAGCTAACGAATTTCCCTGAATCCCTTCATAAACGTTACTTAATTATATTGTGCCTAATTATGTAAAAAAAACTAATTATGTGGTACCTAATTATGTTGTACCTAATTTTATAACTCCTAATTGTATTCGGTTTAATTTTACTGTAAAAATTATGTGGTAACTAATTAAGTTGTTCCTAATTATATGGTACCCATTTATGTGGTAGCTTATTATGTGGTACATAATTATATGTGTACCTAATTATGTGGTTCATAATTATGTACTCAGTTTAATAATCCGCCATAAAGACAGAATTTACAAAACTACAGACAATGTAATATAGTAAAATTGCTAATGAACAATTTTGTTGATTTTCAGTAACATTAGACATCTTCATCTATTTGCAGTAATTTCTTAGGTCTTCAAAGATTTAAAGCAACGCTACAGATATTTATATAACTCCAAAGATACTAATATTTAAAGAAGTAGCACAGATGTTCATTAACTTTGAGAAAAAATCACACATGCATTGTAATTTTTATGTAGATGGCATCAACAATTAAATTGTAGAGAATCTGCTTATAAATCCCAAATAAGAGTTAGTTTCCGTCAGAAGGTGAGCGTCGAGGGAGTGTGAACGTGCAGCTTGATGTCTTGTTCCAAGCTGTGGAGAAGAAGAAGCTGCAGCAGCTGCGGGAACACCTTCCTGGGGCTCAGAGCTGTGTCAACGGGCACAGCGGCGCCTTCTATATCACTCCTCTACACGCAGCTGTGGAACTGGGTTGGACAGAGGGAGTCCAAGAGCTGCTCCTTCAAGGAGCTTCAGTCTGCAGCAGGAACCAGTATGACCAGACTCCACTGCACTACGCTGTTGCTGCCAAACAAGAGGAGATTCTCGCCCTGCTCTTAGACAATCGTAGTAGTGTTGGAGCCATCAACCTGCATGATATGAGAGGTACGTCTCCTCTCCACGAGGGAGCAGCTAGTGGCAGTGTAGCAATAGTCAAGCTTCTGCTGGAGAAGGGTGCAGTGGTCGCTACCAGAGACAAGCAAGGAGAGTCACCTATGCACAAAGCTGCCAAAGCTGGAGCTTTTGGAGTTATGGTGATCTTGCTTCAACATGGAGCCGACCTAAGAGAGAAAGATTACAGAGGCGTGTCTGCCCTGCGCTGGTTGATGCTCACTAGTCCTGACGGTCTACAACACCTCCTGGACCACCTGCTCATCACAAGTGTGGCAGGCAACAGGCGCTCCCCAGTTACCTTCGACTTTTCAGCACTTGTCACTAACTCTGGCACTCAGCAGTGCCAGCTACTCTCGTATTTTATTGAAACTGACAACTGTGACATTCTCGCCCATCCTGTGTGCCATGTCTTCCTTCTGATCAAGTGGAAAAGAGCAAGACTTGTTTTCTTAGGATATCTTCTCTATTTTATTATTTTCGCTTTTTTAACGGGTTTGTTCCTGTTTAACCGGCTGCTCTGGAGTAACCGCGACATAAACAACCAAACTACAACACAGCAAAACGAAACAGCATCCATTGATCCCTCGTCTGATGACCAAGGTCAAGTTTTCCCTCTACCTGACCTCTGGATGAAAGTGTGTCTGTGTATACAGATTCTGATACTAACAGTTAGCCATCTGAACCGCATTAGACTCAAAGGACTCGCATATGCAAAAGCTCCATCCTTTTGGCATAATACTGGTTTAATTGTATGTGTGTTAAGCTTAATTGCGTCTTCTTGGCATCATGGACCTGCCAGTATCGCCCCCTGGGAGCACCACATTGCTATCATAGTCTTCCTTCTTCTGCAGCTGCAGTTTCTTCTCATCCTTAGGAAGTATCCTTCACACGGTCTCTACGTAGCTATGTTTATCAGAGTGGCAGAGAACTTCCTGCGAATATTTTTCATCTACAGCACTTTGCTTGTGTGCTTCTCTCTAACACTGTTCCTGGCCTTCAACATGTACTATCATAAGGACCCCGTCTACAAAAGTGGTTCGTTGCTGTTCCTTAAAAGCTTGACTATGATGGTTGGCTCAGTGGACGTCAATAAGAGCGTGACAGATCAGCTTGACCGTCTACCCTACACCAGTTACATCATCTTCCTGCTCTTCATCCTGCTCATCTCCATCGTGTTGTCCAACTTGCTGGTAGCTCTAGCAGTCAGCGACATCAGGGAGCTCCGCGCCTCTGCTCACCTCATGAGACTCGGAAGGTAGCCGACTAACTCATATTTACTCAGCTCATATGATCTAACTTAGTCATTAACTAGAACACCTCTCAAATAAAAGGGGGGAACGCATTTCTGATGGTAAAGAGCTTTGTGACTAATAAATTCGAGTTTCCCCTTTCATCCTCGGATCAAGTTTAATTGCCTCCCATTCCCTAGGTACTGCATGACTCTTATGTGTTCTTGATGATAACGTCTCATTAATTACTCACGGTGTCAATATTACAGCATGGTGGACGCCATCGGGAATATCGAGCAGCTGTGTGACTTCCCTCTGCTGCGTCACTTGGCAGACTATTGTCGTCTTGACACCCGCGCCTGCCAGGTGCGTCTCTGGCCCCAGCACGATGCCAGACAACCTTCAGTAGTGGTGGCGGAGCGGGAGGCTCACTCGGGTTCTCCACACTCGAGGTTGCACTGCTGGACCTGGCTACTTCACCGCCTCCACCGGCATCGCTACGAGATCCACATCCCCGCTACTTTACAGGAAGAGATACTCAACAGAATTACAGCCAGGGAATACGTCAGTATAGATTCTGATATGAAAGATGGTGAGCAGGATGTTAAAACTATCTACAGTGAAATTATGAGAAGACTGAAGGCTATTGAAATTGCAATCTCCCGGTAATTCCTCAGTTATGTATAATTACGTATTTCTGTACTTAATAATATGTTTAATACGAGCACAGTTTTGCTAAATATAAAATGTTGAAGGTGGTATACTTTTCTAGCGTCGAATTCTTTAACTTAAGTATAATACTGAGAGGCTGATGATTAAGACACATGTGCAACAGTTGGGTATCTTTATTGATGTAACGTTTCGCCCACACAGTAGACTTCTTCAGTGAGATACAGAGGAGTACTGAGAAGGTACACTTGCTTCTCCTCTAATTCCATTACTTTATCAGTCTCCCAGGTCTTCTTGTTTATCTTCCCAACATTCCTCTTCTTCACATCATTCTCACAACTGAGCTGAAGCTGTAGGAATTATATGGCGCTTAAGAAATGGAAGGAACCGGAGGTAATCAGGTTTCATCCAGTGAAGGATAGTGTGTGATCTTTCCCAGCATCAGTGCACATCTTCCTGAAGGATAGTGTGTGACCTTTCCCAGCATCAGTGCTGGGTTGAAGATAACTCTTGGTAATACTTCAGAGATGATGAAGTTGTCTTTATTTTCTTCAATCATTTCTGAAGTGACGGTGGTAGTAATTAATTGAGTAATATTTCAACGAGGAGTTACATTTACATATTTTTACTTTCATATTTAAAAAAATAAAAAACGGAGACGTATTTTCAAATTGCATCAATAGACGTCTCAAGATACTCCCCAGAGAGGGAGTCAAGGCCGGGTCACCACTACTTGGAAAAGACCCGGGTCGGGAGAATACCGGCGAATTAAAAAAAAAAAAGGCATGCCCAGCCCTTCTAGGGTAGGATAGGTGCCTGAGTCAGAGCTTGCAGCTCACAAGACTGTCATTCCCATTAACCCCCTTGGGGCGGGGATGGCAGACCAGGGAGGCCTAGCTTCTCCCTACGAGCCCTGTGAGGGCGGGGTATGTGGCTAGGCCTGGGGACAGTTGGTCCCAAAGATGAGGGGGTTCTTGTACCTCCTACCATGGGAGACTTAGGTCTCAGACACTCCCTAGACAGGGAGCCAAGGCCGGACCACCACTTGGAAAAGGCCCGGAGCCGGGAGAATACCGGTGAATCTTTAATAATAAATAATAAAGGTAAACTTTACCAGTACGTCCTTAAATTACAAAAAAAGGCACAATACCGTGACTGGAACGATACACAAATAACCCGCTTACCACGACGTTTCGGTCCGACTTGGACCATTTACAAAGTCACACTGACTTTGTAAATGGTCCAAGTCGGACCGAAACGTCGTCGTAAGCTCCTCTCTTCTATGTGCGGGTTATTTGTGTACAGTACGTCCTTATTTTGGAATTACGGATATAAATAAACAGCTCCTGGGCCCAAGTATGACACAGTAGCGACACGTGTACCTCAGGCGTACCTGAAGCTGTTCTTATATTACACACTTGTGTCTCATTTATCAAGTTGTCGGTTCTCTGAACTATTTATCCACAATACTTGGATTTATTTGTTCTGGAGTTGTTTACCAGTTTACGGTAAGACTTTAGAAGCTGTATAAGACCCAGAACTGGATGTCAACATAGTTCATAACTGATTTTGGTGATTTTTTTTTTTTTTTGCAAAACTTTAGAATAGTAATGAATTATTTCTGCTCTACTGTTTTTTTTAAGGTTTAAAATAAAATATTTTTAAGTATTTGTTTCGTTTTCTTTAGGTAAATTATTTAAAGTGGCCAATAGTAATTCTCTTCGTGTATTTTGTTGCAATAACATCACAGTAAACATTATGTAAAATAACAACATTGACAAAACAATGAAATTAACAATGAAATTCCAAGCGCTTTCGTGATTTCTCACATCATTCTCGATAATGTCAGCAAAGAGCTTGGAATTTCACTATTTTTTTTTCGGTGAGGTTATTTTGCATTTATTTTGTTGTATAACCTTGTAAACATGGATGTCTAAGATAGTCTGGATGATCAGATGGCTCAGTTTTCTTCTGGTGGCTCAGCAGTCATCACGGCTGCAGCTGACGAACACCGTGAGGCATCCAGATGTATGTCTATCCAGTCTTCAAGAAACAAAGACAAAGGTAGGAAGGGAGGACTGGATCCCTAGCCAAGTTACTGGGAGGGAGTGTTGTTATAGTGAGGGCTAGTTACTGGGAGGGAGTGTTGTTATAGTGAGGGCTAGTTACTGGGAGGGAGTGTTGTTATAGTGAGGGCTAGTTACTGGGAAGGAGTGTTGTTATAGTGAGGGTAGTACTGAAGGAATGTTTATAGTGAGCTAGTTACTGGAAGGAGTGTTGTTCTAGTGGGGCTTTACTGGCAGGGAGTGTTGTATATGAGCTATTACTGAGGAGTGTTGATTATAGTGAGGGCTAGTTACTGGAGGAGTGTGTTATAGTGAAGGGCTATACTGGGAGGAGTGTTGTTATAGTGAGGGCTAGTTACTGGCAGGGAAGTTTGTTTTAGTGAGCTATATGGAGGGAGTGTGTTATAGGAGGGCTAGTTACTGAGGGAGTTTGTAAGTGAGGCTAGTACTGGGGGTTTGTATAGTGAGGGCTAGTTACTGGGAGAGTGTTGTTATAGGAGGGCTATATACGGAGAGGATGTCTTATAGTGAGGGTAGTTACAGGTAGGGGTGAAGTAGCTATTACTGAGATGTGATTGAATGACATTCTGGAGGAGTGTTGAGAAAGGCTGTTAAGGGGGTGGTGTTGTAAGTGAAGGGTTAGTTACTGGAGAAGAGTAAGTTGTTATAGTGAGGGCAGTTACTGGAGGAGTGTTGTACTGGATAGCCAAACAGTCACGGGAGGTATTTCGGGTACATGCTTGTTGGGCCTAGGCCTAGAGTGCTTCTTTAAATTGTAAGGTAAACTGTGAGGATGGGTGGTATATTGAGTAGTTCTGGCGGGCAAGTAATGTTAACTATTTGCAGTTTAATGAGTGACACTTTGCTAATAACGAGGCTAGAGACTGGAAAGTTAATTAAGAGACGTTTCGGTCGACTTGGAAAATGTAAATCTTTTTATACGTTTCCTTATGTTTTCTTTTCAGTGACTCGTGGTGACCCTCAGTTGGTGACCCCATTTGTGACCCTCCTTGTGACCCTCATTTGTCTGACCCTCAGTTGGTGACCTCCGCTTTTGTGACCCTCAGTTGGTGACCTCCGATTTGTGACCCTCAGTTGGTGACCTCCGCTTTTGTGACCCTCAGTTGGTGACCTCCGATTTGTGACCCTCAGTTCGTGACCTCTGCTTTTGTGACCCTCAGTTAGTGACCTTCGCTTTTGTGACCCTCAGTTGATGACCTCCGCTTTGTGTCCTCAGTTCGTGACCTTCGCTTTTGTGACCCCTCATTTGGTGACCTTCGCTTTGTGACGCTCAGTTCGTGACCTCCGCTTTTGTGACCCTCAGTTGGTGACCTCCGCTTTGTGACCCTCAGTTCGTGATCTCCGCTTTTGTGACCGTCAGTTAGTGACCTCCGCTTTGTGACCCTCAGTTGGTGACCTCCGATTTGTGACCCTCAGTTGGTGACCTCTGCTTTTGTGACCCTAAGTTGGTGACCTCCGTTTTTTGACCCTCAGCTCGTGACCTCCGCTTTTGTGACCCTCAGTTGGTGACCTCCGATTTGTGACCCTCAGTTCGTGACCTCCGATTTGTGACCCTCAGTTGGTGACCTCTGCTTTTGTGACCCTAAGTTGGTGACCTCCGTTTTGTGACCCTCAGTTCGTGACCTTCCGCTTTGTGACCCCCAGTTCCTTCACTCTTTACAGTTCATTCTCTCACATGCTAAACAGACTTTCTTCTCCTGTGAAATTTCTCGTTCTTTGTCTGGCCTAAACTTCCGCTCTATAAAATCTCAACAACTCTCTCCGTTCCTTAGGTATGAAACTTCTCGCCAAACTAACGTCCTTCGTAGTAATATATAGTGGGTTTAGCGCTTCTTTTTGATTATAATAATAATAGTCGTAGTCATAGGGCTGCCCCCACCATAGGTCTATAAACGGTACACTCACTTGAATGCTCACAGTGCCCCTGCCATAGGACTGTAAACGGTACATCACTTGTATGACTCCGAGTGCCACCCCTTCGGAGCGACTTGGTAACGTACATATTGAAGCCCAGTCAGGACCCGTGCCTGGCTAAACTACCTAACTTGAACCTTTGTGACAGTTAATGCCCATCCAAATAAGTATCGTAATAGTTGTCCTCTAAGTGCAGTATGTGTGTCCAGCCATGTATGGACTTGTTAACTGTTGTGTATTGTTCCAGCATGGTATTTGGACTTGTTATTTGTGGTATTGTTGCAAGCCATGCGAGGACTTGTATTTGGTATGTCATGCCATTATTGTGACTTGTTATCGGTAGTATCCACCATATTGTGATGTATTGAAGTTAGTCTTGGTATTGTGCTGTTATTTGTGTGTTATTCCAGCCATGGTATTGTGACTTGTTATTTGTGTATTGTTCCAGCCATGGTATTGTGACTTGTTATTTGTGTATTGTTGCAGCCATGGTATTGTGACTTGTTATTTGTGTATTGTTCCAGCCATGGTATTGTGACTTGTTATTTGTGTATTGTTCCAGCCATGGTATTGTGACTTGTTATTTGTGTATTGTTCCAGCCGTGATATTGTGACTTGTTATTTGTGTATTGTTCCAGCCGTGATATTGTGACTTGTTATTTGTGTATTGTTCCAGCCATGGTATTGTGACTTGTTATTTGTGTATTGTTCCAGCCATGGTATTGTGACTTGTTATCCTTTAGAGGACTGACACTGTGTCAATAAACAGTCGATCTCACATTCACTCTGAGATCACGTCAGAATGTAAGAAGCTTCAGTAAACACAGCAGTGGACTCGCCCTTCTTACTATACCAGAGAATGTGTTGGTAAACAAAACTATATCAAATATAAAACATTTATTAGGAGATCATAGTTATAAAAGTATGTACAGGGAGTATATACAGACCACAACACTGCTGGGTGATATAAACCAAGTTAAACCATAGTTCCCACAGGGAGTATATACAGACCACAACACTGCTGGGTGATATAAACCAAGTTAAACCATAGTTCCCACAGGGAGTATATACAGACCACAACACTGCTGGGTGATATAAACCAAGTTAAACCATAGTTCCCACAGGAGTATACACAGACCACAACACTGCTGGGTGATATAAACCAAGTTAAACCATAGTTCCCACAGGGAGTATACACAGACCACAACACTGCTGGGTGATATAAACCAAGTTAAACCATAGTTCCCACAGGGAGTATATACAGACCACAACACTGCTGGGTGATATAAACCAAGTTAAACCATAGTTCCCACAGGTAGTATATACAGACCACAACACTGCTGGGTGATATAAACCAAGTTAAACCATAGTTCCCACAGGGAGTATATACAGACCACAACACTGCTGGGTGATATAAACCAAGTTAAACCATAGTTCCCACAGGAGTATATACAGACCACAACACTGCTGGGTGATATAAACCAAGTTAAACCATAGTTCCCACAGGGAGTATATACAGACCACAACACTGCTGGTGATATAAACCAAGTTAAACCATAGTTCCCACGGGCACAACAACACAAAAACATCAAACCTATCCGACAGGCGAATAGACAGACCACACCTCCGGCTTATAAACCTTTCCGTATTAATAATAATACACAACATATATAAAACAAGTAAATAATTAATAATAATAAGATAAAATTAATATAAACCAATATAATAATAGTATCCAAGTAATATACATACACAAATATGAATAATAACCAATTAAAATAATTAAAAATAATACAGACACAAACAGTGATATATAAAACAATAAACATAGTTACAGATATAAAACAGACACAAATGTTAATATAAACCAATTATAAACATAATTCCACAGATTAACTAAAGAAAAACATGAGTGAACAAGTTACCAGTATAAGATATATAAACAAACATCTGTATAAAACAAGTAAAACCATATTAAGATAATAATAAGACACAAATGTTGAACATAAACAAGTTAGACCAATGTCCCACAGGGAGTAATACAGACAATGGGCCTAATACCTTAAATATTCCACTGCGGTAAGAATATAAGCTAACCACCCTGCTGTGATAATATACATTAACCATAGTTTCCCACAGTGGGTATATACCCACACACTGCGGGCATGACCA